ATTCCCGTTCCCCTTGGCCTCTTGCCTTCTGCGCGGCCTTTGCCTGTGCTGCGCCCCCACTCCCCGGGCCTCAGTTTCTTCCATATGAAGGAGGAAGCCCTAACAGCCACCTCGCAGCACCACGTCGCGAGCATAATGAGATCATGCAGGGAGAGCACTCCGCAGGGGCAGCGACCCGAGGTGAGGCGCGAGGACCCTGAGCACGAATTTGTGGGGAGACCCAGGGACAAAAGGAGTTCTAGAACAGCTTCTAGTCTGGAGAATCCAGAAAGTCTGCAAGTCTGGGTTTGTAGAACATCTGTAGACCTGAGGTTCTAGAATACCTGACTGTCTGGGGACCAAAGTTCTTGACTCTTCGAACTTGAGCTCCAGAGTGTCTGAGGACCTAGACTGCCAGAAAATCTTAGAGCCTGCAGTTCTAGAATCTGACAGTCTGAGATGCTGGAAATTCCAAGGATGTTTAGTTCTAGAAAGGCCAGGCCCCACTCAGGCAGGCAGCTCCTACCCATAAAGGTGATGGCTTTCCAGACATGGGGAGAGACCATGCTGATAACAAGTCCTGTCCTTCGCTGGGTGACCTGAGATCAGTCCCTCCTACTCTCTGGACCTCTCATGAGCTAGTTAAGCCAGAACAGACTGGACAATTGCTCAGGGCCCTCTGGGGTTCTGAGACATTAGGGACTAGCCTCAAATACCTGAAGCCTTGGGTCATCTTAGTGTCAATCTCCAGCCTCTGGAATGCAGAATCCAGAGTTCAAGCTCTGGAATGCAGAGTTAAGATGGCAGGATCTAGAATAGGGACCCCAGGTTCCCAGGCTCCAAATTCATACTTCAGAGTCAAGAGTATAGCAACCTCAGAAAAGAGGAGACCAGGCTCGTGTCTGCCGGCCCCACCTTTTAAATGTGCAGTGCAGATTTGAAACTCCAGATTTCATGGTTCAAAGTCTACCCACAAAATCTCAGAGTCTAGACCCAGACTCTAGAATCCAGGCCCCCAAATTCAAATTCCATAATCTACCATTTGTCCTCGAGGCCTGAGGCATCACACAGCAGGTTCAAAGGTTTCCAACCTCCAATCCCAGATTCCAAACAGCAGACTCCAGACTCCTACTCTGTACTCTGGATTCAAAGGTCCAGGATCCAGAATCCAAGCCTGAGACCTGCAACTCCAAGACTTGACTTCAGGATCCAGATACCAGACCCCAGACCGCAGAACTCAGATTCTAATATCCACACTCCAGACTTCATGGTTTTTTTGTTTTTGTTTTTGTTTTTGTTTCCTACTCTGTTGGGCTTTCCTAGGCCCTTTCTAGGAAAGTCAACTTTTTTTCCAAGTCAACTTCTGGGACCAGAAGACAAGATTATGGGGTCCTTCACAGGGACAGGAATCCCAGGCAGCTCTTGGTCCCTGGTCAAATTTTTTATTTTTTAACTTTTAATTTTTTTTATTGTAAAGATGTGGGGTCCAATTCAGGGTTAGGTATACAAATGTTCATTATGGAGGTACCCTTGTGGATGAGAGGTCATTAATATTGAAGTTGAGACACCAAACTCAGAACCCAAGTCCTGGATCTAGAGCTCAAGATCCAGAACCTCACCCCAAGCCCAGAATTATGACTCCAGGATCCAGTCACCACAATCCAGACCCGAAATTCCAGACTCTGTTTTCTGATGTCCTCCAATTTTCTGCCTTTACCCCTCATCTCCTCCCCCCTGATGAACTGCTCCTGGTGGAGAATTCCTCCCTGCAAACTCAGACAACAGCTTCAGCCTAATAAATGCTCATTAGCCTAAGTCGCCCACCCCACCCACCATCAAGGCATCCCTGCCTGTAAACCTGGCTCTCAGCCACCTCTCACCCCACCCCCGCCACCCAAACCCCAGACCCAGGTGGGGCCGGGAGCTTATAAAGTCAGCCTTTCCAGTGCCTTTTCCCCTTCCAGCATCCAAGCTGCCCTCAGCACTTTTGAAGCCTCTGGAGGAGGCTTTGGGATTGGGGTGTGGGGGAGTGGGGGAGATACAGAATGTCTCGGGGAAAGACACGGACCACCCTGAAGGAATTGAATGTCAAGGGTGTTGGGTAGGTCCGTGTGTCCTCTACTGCAGTCCCAAGCTGAACCTGGACCAAGAAAATATCCTGGAGCTGCTAGAAGGAGCCGCAGTGGGAGGGAGGGGACAGCGCAGATCGAGAGGACGTCCCCGAAAGCTCTTGGACCAGAGTCAAGAACATGATCAGGAGATATCACAGGTTCAAGTGAGTTCAGCACAACCTCCCTGAGGCCCTCTGTGTGCCAGGCCCCATGCTGGGTAGTGCTGGGGACACAGAGAGGACGCAACCTGAGTCCCACCTTCAAGGACCCCCGATATGGGGGAAAAAAGACAAGCCAGGCCTCAGCACTCATGGGTACCTGTGCTGTGGTGGAGGCAGAATGGGTGCTGTGGGATCAGAGACAAATCCTGCCAGGAACTGGAGCCTCCCAAAGAGGGAAAGGCTGAGCCTCGGAGGGCAAAGATGAATTTGGAAGATACAGAGAAGAAGGACTTTCATTTACTCCCAAAGCGTCCCAAGGCCTCAGTGGGCTGGACCCTGTACCAGGCAGTCCTAGGGATCCAGAGTCGAGTCAGACCCGGCCTGCCCTCAGGGGGTTGTCAGTCTGGTGAGAAAGGCAGACATCACTTAGGGTCAAGGGAGATCAGAAAATACCTCGAGAGTAAGTGGGCTTGAAAGGGAATGGCATACCTGATAGGAGGAACATCCTGAGCATGAACTTACAGGAGGGAAAAGGGCAGCACTGGCTGCATCTAGAAGGACAAGGTCAAGGTCATGGGAAACCTGGGCAGAGAACCTGGAAGGGGAGGACCCACTCATGTCCTTGAAAGTGAGGCTGGGAGGCTGAACTTGATCCTGGGGGGTGCTGGGGAATCCATGGAGGGCTGCAAGCAGGGGAGGGGCCTGGTTGGTGAGCTCCAGATGGAGAAGGTCCCTCTGGGCCTTGGGTGGATGGATGGGGGGGAGGTGCTGGGGGACCAGAAGGAGACCCAGAAGGTGGGATAGAAGCCTAGATAGGGTCCTGAGTCAGGGCCCTGAGGATGGAGAGCGATTAAGGACTGGTGCCATGGAGTGAGGGGCTGGCATGCCGTGGGGGTGCCAGGGTCTACCAAGATGTCCCAGGAAGAAGAGCAGGATGTGGTGGAGGGAGGGGACACAGATAGTAAAAAGTTTCCTGGCCCGACGCAGTGGCTCATGCCTGTAATCCCAGCACTTTGGGAGGCTGAGGCAGGAGGATTGCCTGAGCCCAGGAATTTGTGACCAGCCTGGGCAACACAGCAAGACCTAATCACTCAAAAAAATTTTTAAATTAGTCAAGTTTGGTGGCACATGCCTGTTGTCTCAGCTACTCAGGAGGCTGAGGTGAGAGGATTACCTGAGTCCAGGAGATCGAGGCTGCAGTGAGCTGTGATGGTGCCACTGCACTCCAGCTTGGGTGCCAGAGTGAGACCCTGACAAAAAAAGAAGGAGGAGGAGGAAGAGAAGAAGAAGAAATTTCTTAAGCAGCAGGTGGGCTGGGTTTGTGTCTGGAGGGATCCCAGAGTGGCAGAAGGGTCCAGCCTCACCCTGGTTCTCTGCCTCCCCTTCCCAGACAGCAGCTGAGCCCTGGTCCTCCCCCAACAATGTGGCTTCTCCTCAACTTCTCCTTCCTGCTGACATCCGCAGGTGAGGTGGGCCGAGTCGGGGTTTGTGGGAATGTGGTGCCCCCTTCCCCAGCACGTCAGGGCCCTGTGATCTTCCAGCCCCTACCTCACTTCAGAGACCACCTGAAGATCCTCCCCTTACCCCGCCTCACCTGAGCCACTGCCAATGCCCTTGAACCTCCCTCCACCCTCAGAGCCCAGAGCCTGGGGCTGCTCTGGAGTCACCATGCCACCTGGGGCCTCTTGCTGCCCTTGCCAATGAATGTGGTCCTAGGGTTGTCTCTTCCTTGTTGTGTGACCTTAAGGAAACTGCTTCACCTCTCTGAGCCTATGGCGAGGTCTCAATAGCATAGGGTGGGTAATGCACAGACTCCTTAAACGAGGGTTGACAGGCCAAGAGCACAGATCCCGGGTTTGGATCCTGCCCCTGCAACTCTCTAGTCACTTAGCATCTCTGTGACTCAGTTTCCCCAACTGTAATGGAAACAGCAGTTCTTCCCTCTCAGGGTCACCATGAGGATTAAATGCAGGCATGTGTGAGGGCCTGGCACATGCCTGGCCTGGGTAGGGTGTGCAAACGTTGGTGTATGCTTAGTGCTCACACTCAATATCCCTATGAGATTGGCACACCCAACCCCATTTGACAAGGGACGGGGTTCAGACAGGGACACCCACAAGGTCAAGGTCACCCTGGATAGCAGGAGAACTCCAGACCAAACTCAGCCACCACCACGGAGAAATTAATTGTAACCTAATGCCTGTACCCTGGAGAAATTAGGGGGTAGACTCTTATTAACGCCGCTCCCACATGACCCTCGCCCCTGGAGGCCCTCAGACCCCCCCACACACACACTGCCAGCCTCCCCTCCGGCTCTCTCTGTGTTCTGCCTCCTTGCTGCACCCAGCAGGGGCCTCCGCCCATCTCTGGCTCCAACCGGCCAGGTGCGGCCTCGGTGCCCAGCTGTTCAGCCCGTGCCCTCCGCCCTTCTCCATAGTCCACCTCACCCTTTCTCACTAAGCCCCTCGTCCACCACATCCGCGTTCCCCTGGCCTCACCGGGGCCTTTGGCTCAGTTCCTGACCAGGGTCAGGAGTGTGGGCATTTAGTCTGACTGTACAAATCCTGCCCTGGTGTGGGTGTCTGTGTGACCCTGAGGGGACAAGTCTGTGTTGCCTAGGGTGGGGGTTCGTGGTCCTGTGACTTTGAAATGTCCCTAAATGTGTCCTTGTGCAAGGTGTCAGAGTGTGTGTGTGTGTGTGTGTGTGTGTGTGTGTGTGTGTGTTTGTGTAGTGGGTGCCCTGAACCCTGTGTGTCCACAAGCTGCCCACATGTATGAACCAGATCCCCATACAGGAAACCTGACCAGTGACCTTGAAACACCACAGATCTGGCTTGGGTACAGACCTAGTGATGGATAAATGTGTCCTGTCCTTGCTGCCAGTGAATTTCAACTTGAAGTGTGTCTTCAGCTACGTGTCTTTGACCTTGAGTGCCTGGCCCTGTGTCTGGGGGTTGCCCAGAGTATGATTTAATGGGTCCACATCTGGCTGTTGGCCCTCCAGGTTGGTGTCTACAGCTTTGACTCTACAAAATGGTTTGTGGAGAAACCATGGTTTTGACCTTGGGTCTGTGCAGATGTCTCACTGACTTGGACCGTGTTTGTGTCCACAACCTGTACGTCCACAGGTGTATCCCCATAAGTAAATCCATGTGTCTTTGTTAAAAATAACTAATATTTAATAAGCAGTTACAATGGGCCAGGTATCACTCTATTACTCACCCTTCCCCCTCCCCATTTCATCCTTACAACAATCTCATTTTACAGATGAGGAAATAGAGTCACAAAGAGGTCAAATAGCTCACTCAAAGCCTCACAGCAGAGTGGTGTGGTGTTGTGCATCTGTAATCCCAGCCAACACTTTGGAAGGCCAAGGCAGGCGGATCCTCTGAGCCCAAGAGGTCGAGGCTGCGGTGAGCTGTGATTGTGCCATTGCACTCCTGCCTGGATAACAGAGTGTGACCCCCAACTCAAAAATAAATAAATAAATAAGGCCTCACAGCTAGTATATTTGAACCTCAGCTTAAGGGCCCCACTTTCTTTGACCAGACCCTGTGTGCAAGTGTCTGTGTGGATGCCAAGACTCACACTGGAGACATAGGCATTGACGTTGAAGTTAGGTCTGATCTATACCCAATTCTCTGTGTGTGTTCATGTCTTAACCATCCAAACTCAGATACACATATGAACATCCATGCTGTGATTCTTTTTTTTTTTTTGAGTTGGAGTCTCACTCCGTCGCCCAGACTGAAGTGCAATGGCCGCTCCTGGTCACCGCAGCCTTGACCTCCTGGGCTCCAGCGATCCTTTCGCCTCAACCTGGAACTACAGGTGCGCGCTACCATGCCCGGTTAATTTTTTTTTTTTTTTATTGTAGAGATGAGGTCTCGCCAAGTTGCTCAGGCGGTTCTCAAACCCTCAGGCTCAGGCAATCCACTCACCTCGGCCTCCCAAAGCACAGGATTACAGGCTAAGCCACCAAGCCCGGCCCATGCTGTGATTCTTGAAGCTGCAATCCATGTAGCTGCCAGTGAATTTCAACTTGAAGTGTGTCCATATCTGCACCTAGATTTAGAAGCCTGGCTGTGTTTATTTGTGTGTGTCCATGACCTTGTGTGACTTCATCTTGTATTGTACACTGAATTGGCTGAGATGTCCAGACTCTGGAGCCAAGACCGTGTGTCATACCTATTGAGTGACCACATCCATTTGACATCTGTGACAACTTGGTGACCTTGAATGACTGGTTGCAAGTGACCACCTGTCTGAACCTGTATCCAGTGTCCCTGTCTCCATCCCCAGTCACAGAGGACTTCTTGCCCTCTGGTCCTGTCTCCTTCCGCTCTCTCCTGGAGTCCTACAGTAAATGAGGTGGGGGCTGGAGTTCTGGAAAAAGAAGGGAGCAGTTTTAGGTAAGCAGTAGGACTTCTTGAGTCCAGGTGAGGTGGCTCACACCTGTAATCCCAGCACTTTAGGAGGCCAAGGCAGGAGGACTGCTTGAGTTTGAGACCAGCCTCGGCAACACAGCGAGACCTCATCTCTACTAGATAGATAGATAAATAAATAGAGACAGATAAATAAAAGTATTAGCTGGGCATGGTGGCTCACACCCATGATCCTAGCTACTCAGGAGGCCAAGGTTGAAGGACTGCTTGGCGCTGGGCAACATAGTGAGACTTCATCTCTACTAAAAAAAAAAAAAAAATTAGCAGGCATGGTGGCCTGTAGTCCCAGCTACTCGGGAGATTGAGGCAGGAAAATTGCCTGAGCCCAGGGGGTCAAGGCTGTGGTGAGCCATGATCATGCCACCGCATTCCAGCCTGGGCAACAGAGTGAGAGTCCCAACTCAAATAATAATAATAGAAGAAGAAAAACAGCAGGACTGCTTGAGAAACTGGGGGAAGGCATAAGCACAGTAGTGAGGGCAGGGTGCAAGGAAGGTGTAGGAGGTGATGAAAAGCCCCGTTTCAAGGATCCTCTTCCCCTTCTCCCAACAGTCCAGGATGGTGACAAGCCGCTGGAAGGTGAGGAGTGTGTGCCCCACTCCCAGCCATGGCAAGTGGCCCTCTTCCAGCGTGGACGCTTTAACTGCGGGGCTTCCCTCCTCTCCCCGCACTGGCTGCTGTCTGCCGCCCACTGCCAAACCCAGTAGGAAGGCAGGGCTCAGGCCCTGAGGGAACCTGGCTAGAAAGTAGGAACTCCTAGGTTTGGGGGAAGGCAGAGGCAGACGCCCGGGCTCTGATGGAGAAAGAGGCTGGAGGTCAAGTCCCTGGGTGAGGAGGGGTGTGGGTTCTGAACTCTTAGGTCCGTGAAGGAGGAACGAGAAAAATGGTGAGGTCCCAGCTTTTGAGCCCAAGGGTCAGGGACCTGAGAATCCTGGATTCTGAAGAAGGAAGGTCTGGGGGAAGCGGGGAGATTGGGTTCCCGGAGTGTGCCTGACTTTGGACTTCCTGGTTCCTGAGCAACAGGGCCAGAACCATTGGGTCTTGGGAGTGGGTCATGGGA